CGCTGCGCTAACAGAACATAATAACATGCCGCAGGGGGCGAGGAGAAAGGGAGAGAAGGAGCGCGAGCACGCTGGAAACGGTATCGCGATGGTCGGATCTGGTTTTTCCAAGGGACAACTATGACGCGGCATCTCGGGCAACAGACGATCTCGACAGACTTATCGCGTGAGCTCTCTTAACAATACTTCCGGATGTTTGTAAAAACGTCATTGAGAATGACGACGATGACGACGACGATAACGACGACGAGAGACTGCGAGACATCAGGGGAGATGCGCGAGGCACACATACCTAGCTAAGTCTAAGGTCCTTCTTTCTCCGTGTATACGGAATATCGGGGACACTATCCATTCTGCTCTTCTCCGCTCGCCTTCTATGAGCAATGGGAAATCTGGCGCAAGCGTTATAAACCCCGATGCGACGCTTCGAGCACCTCGTTCAACCCGTTGAAACGCTTAACTCATTCGCGGATCGTGCTCACGCGTCTACGTACAGCGTATAATTATATGCTAAGTGGGAAAATCGAGAAATCTATGGAGAACAAGTACAAACGACAACGAATTGCGAGCAATTAATGTCTCGTGGAGAAAGTCATTTCATTTGCAAATGATCGATGTTATCCTACGAGTGATACGAAGAGACCACTTTTTTCCTTTTCGCTTTCGAATTATAAAACGAAAAACAGTCAGAGAATATATATTTTATCGAAGCGACGCGATATATAAGTGAAGCCTCTTCGTGAGATTGATAGTATCCTACAAGTGATACGAAGAGACCTCTATTTTCATTTTTGCTTTCAAATAAAACGGAAAGCAACTAGAGAATGTATGTTTTACGAAAATGACGCGATCCAGATGAGGTCTTCGTGAGAATTACGAATGAATTATCGGAAGTTGCACGTGTAGAAAAAATTTCGACTCATGTCGAAATAATTGAATAAGGATCAAACGAAATACTCGCTGATGAGAGATAATATCTTTGTTACCGAAAACATTCATCTGAACATTCAACAGCATTAAAACTCAGGCAACTCAGAGCAATTGAAAAGTAAGAACCTCCTACAGAAATCTTTTTATTCCTACAACGAAGTTTTTCATCTACACTGAAAAATTCATTTAGTTGGGTTAACCAAAATTTGGTTAAAATAGGGTCGAACAAATGTTTCGGTTGTGAGGACCAAAATTTCTTTCTTTCTACCAAAGATTTGATTCTCTGAAACTAAACCTGTTTCATTTTTGTTTCAAAAAATAAAATCTTTGGTTCAAAGTATCAAATATTGGTTCTCACAACCAAAACATTTGTTCCATCTTATTTTAACCAAATTTTGGTTAACTCAACTAAATGAGTTTTTCAATAGTTTCCAAATAACAAAGAATTCACTAACAGAGTTGTTTCTTCCATGAAGAAATTTACACAAAATATCTTCAAAAACGATTATCGTAGCTTTGGAAATATTGATATTCAGTAGGATTATTCAAAGACTAAACAGGCATCTCCTTGTTCAAATATTTGCGTGTCTAAAAAAGGATATGACACTACGACACACGTGGTATTTATCTACAAGGATGATGGAGCTTTCGAAAAAAAAAAGACAAGTATGTGGGCAGCGAGTGGAGTCGTATCACCGAAAAAGGTGCCTTGTTCAGACTAGGTGGCTGAGATTGCGCGCCCTTTCGCGAAAGGAGCTAACCGCGTTTCGCGATTTGTGAAGTTATCTCACCACGTCTACTGCAGAACGTACTACGGTAAACGTGCTACGGTATTCTCTCGAAAAAATACGAAAGGGCGAACTGAATGGGCGCTTCGCGTAGTGTCCCTAGAAAATAGAAGATGTAATTCATTAGACGTTGCAAACGCTTTGAAACGCTTAAAGAAAAACCATGATTTTGGTTTATGCAGCGCTTCAAAGCATTTGCAGTGTCTAAACGAATCCTATTAAGGCCCCTTACATTGTCTATCTCTTCTTTAATGACGTCAGAAACGAGAAAATGTATGCTAAAAATTCTTGCGAAATACGTTAAAATATATATCCATAAAGTAACACTTGCAATCGATTAAACAAATTTGTAAGATATTCGATGCACTCCCCTTTTGCTCTAACGATCAATAATTTGTCGTAAATTAACGTGATATACAATTAATCTTCTTAATCTATTTCTTCGCTTATTTCTATTCAGATTAATTTACAATAAATTATTGATTGTTAGAACAAAAAGTGGAGCAAAACGGAATATCTTACAAATTTGTTTAATCGATTGCAAGTGTTACTTTATGGATATATATTTTTATTTCAATGTATTTCGCAAGAATTTTTAGCATGCATTTTCTCGCTTCTGACGTCATTAAAAAAGAGATAGACAATGCGAGGGACCAGAAGCCTTAACAGTTTGGCCACTTCGGCTCTTTTTTTTATTGGTTTAGTTCGCAGGTCTCTCAATATAGTGGGACCAATCGCAACGATTCATTATATCATTTTATCATTATATTATGAGGTTACAAAGCGACTCACTTAAGGATTTTACCTTTTTGAAGAAGAATATACTTCGTGACATTTTTATTTTACGTTTGATGAGTTGCTACTGATTATATACCTGATTGTTACAGTGTTTGTAATAATAAAACCTTCAAACACCTAAGTTCATTATAATCACGATACAAAATAAGAAAAAGAACTTGGAGCACACGTTTCACTTGATACTTGCAGGGCACTTCGCCGATTGAGTCATTCTCACTACACAAATACGTCATTTTAAGGGGCAAGTGACTATGATCTATCTTCCAGGGTCTATCTTTCTGATCTAGCTTCGCGTGGACCACAATGAATTAAGCGGCATGAGAGTGCAAGGAAACAGCGGTGCGACACGGTCGAGGCGTGGAACGAGATTCGCGCGCGATTCGCGCGCGAACGGCGATGCGGGATCGCAAGGTTACGAGGGAAAGTCCACCTCGCATCACCCACACACGGTTTCGCGCATTCCGATTCTCAAAGTGAAAGACTAAAGCCGACGCTAAAACGTCATACATATGGATTAACCGTGCATAAACGATCACACAGCCTCATCCTACCACTACTATCTGCCATGATACGTATAGATTCATCGTGTACGCATGCACGCACGCGCACACACACACACACACACACACACGTACGCACGCACGCACGTACATCCCGTGATGAAAACGCGTGGAAAGCCGGTCGCCGAAAGCCGCGAGAAATCCGCGCGTTCTCCGGAATAGTAAAGTCGTGAGGAAAGGCGAGAGATTCATGAAAGTGTTTGCTTTAAGGATTGTCAAAAACTTCTGTGAGAGGAGCCGTCGAATAAAGTGAAATTAGAACCACAGCGGACGTGTTCTGAGAATAATGTTGACCGAGGTATATTTTGAGGTAGAATGAAAACCGAAGATGAGAATAAAGTGATTTTTTTCCTTCGTGATGAAGAATGCGACAACGAATAATTCCTCGCTTCTGACGTCATGAAGCTATTGTTTTATGATGATAATATCTGTTCATTAATAGAATAGAATGGCATCAGAAAGATCCAACGTGATCAGAAAACATATATTACGTACGTGACAAAATACCTGACTTCCTGAGCCGAAATGTCGCTTCTACGTTAATCACAAATTCCTGAAGTTATTATTCTACCTCTACGCTTTAAATAATTGCCCACTGCCATGTTGAAGAATTTGTTTCAGGATTATGTAAAATTCGATTATTCTCTACCCACATTTAATTTTTTCTTAACTTTAATAAGCAATGTGTGCCTCGAATTTATTCGACCACAGAGAGAATATATGATAATTAAATAAGTACTAACGAAAATATGATATTAAGGAACGAGTTGTAAGAGCAAAAATAGCAGTTGGGTATTCAATAACGCTCTGCTGTAATAGCGATTTATACACAGAGAGAACGATTTGGTTGAATCAAATAAACACTTCTTTGGAATAGTCCAAACGAATTTTTTGATTGATCGAACAAAATTTTGTTTGTCGCAACAAAAATATTTATTTGCGGCTTAGTTCCAAAGAAATATTTTTGATGTGTCAACCAAGTAATTTGTTTAGACTATTCCAACGAAATGTTTATTTGACAACAAATCGTTCTCTCTGTGTATTTAGATTCGGTACAATAACAATGGTGAACGGAAGCGGAAAGAGAACGTTGGCAGATATCAATAGATGTACGCACAAAAAATCAGCACTTGCGAGATTCATAATGGAATCTAAGACCGGTATTCATAGCTTTCAATTACTTTCAATCTTTAATTGAAAGCGTATTTAGAGTCACAGATTTGTATCGAGTCAATTTTTATCGTTATCAATGGTACGAATTTTAATATTGTTGTATAAAATAAATACAAGTACCAGTAAAAAAACGAATAATTGGAGATTTGCTATAATTATTTGTTCAATAATATGACTGACTATAAACACCGGTCTAAATCTCAACTAGAATATATTCTAATTTATTAGAATAATAAATCCGATTTTTTCAACTTAAACTAACAATTAAATCATATGCCTGTCTTTACCTGATTTAAAGTAAAAACAAAGGTATACATATAATTTAACTGTTAATAAATTTACCAAGAGGTTGAAAAAATCGGCACTAATAAAATGATTTCTCTTTAATTGAGAGCGTATTTAGAGCTATAGATTTGTATCGAGTCAAATTGTATCGTTATCAATGGTAAGAATTTTAATATTGTTATATAAAATAAATACAAGTACTAGTAAAAAAAACGAATAATCGAAGATTTGCTATAATTATTTGTTCAATAATGACTGTCTATAAACCGGTCTAAATCTCAACTACAATATATTCTAATTTGTTAGAATAAGAGCCGATTTTTTCAACTTATTAAAAAATTAACAATTAAATCATATGCCTGTCTTTGTCTAGTTTAAAGTAAAAACAAAGGTATACATATAATTTAACTGTTAATTTATCAAGAGGTTGGAAAAATCGAGACTAATAAAATGATTTCACACACACCTGGAAATGTATAATGTACAACTGCCCGTGCTCCAGTATTCTGTGTTCTCCATCCTTGTCTCCCGATCCAGTATCCTCCTGCATCTCCTTTACGTACACCCATGGCACTGACACTCGCGTAGATACCTTCCTTCCTTCAATAGGCCTGTTCTTTGTAGTTGCACTGCTGAACTGGTGCAATATATTGAAGTGAAACAAATATACGTTTTCTCACTCTAACTTATTGCACTAGTTCAGTAGTGCAGCTACAAAGAACAGGCCTAATAAGTGGCTTCTTGTAATTGAATATCTCAACGCCATCACCCAACTCGCGTAGATACAATCCGGAAGGAAACGTGTTAACGACGCGAGAGCCCGATCGAAATATTCAAAGGAACGACGAAAATGGTAACTCACATACTGACAAACGCATATCCGCGTCGCGATACGTACTTGACTCGCCGGCGCTCAATAATACATTAGCGAAAAGATACGCGGCGTGCGAGAATACCAAAACAAAACGAGGCAAAAACGCCAGTCGGCCCGCTATCACCCGGTAAACAATAACGCGTACATATCACCTCGTTGTCTGAGAGATCGCAACGACCAACACTTTCAAAACACTCAACAAGACTCACCTTGAATTTACTAACGATGTTTTTCACCCTGAATCAAACAGATACTATAGGAGGCTTTCCAATGAGAAACAAACAAAGCTGCTCCATTGGCTGCGTGTTATCTTAGAAGATAACTCGGATGATTCCTAACCAATAAAGTAGTTTCACGTAAATTAGATAATATTTAGCCAATAAAATGGTTCGTAGAGTAGATGATACTTAGGTAATGTTTAACCAATAGAATGGCTGTGCGATAGTGTCATCAATTGGAAAACGACCATTATTATAGTAACAAATTTTTAGATTCCTGTTGGAAAGCCGTTACGTTTAGATATGTCCGAGTACGTTCGGACCTGATTTTTTTGGAACTTGTACTTTGGTACCTTGGTTGAAAGGGCTAACGAAAAAGCCTAAAAGTCAAGTAAAATATAGAGAAAAAAGGAAAAAAAGGAAGAATCTTTTTTGAAGCGCAGAATTACTGCTGCGCACACACACAACTGTATTATTTTACAACTCCTTCCTTTTCACTCTTGTGAATTCCCAGATTTTATCGAAATTTCTACAACATCAGTAAAGTGACCAAACGTCCCGATTTTTCACTTTTTGTCCTTTTTTACTCCCTTCTCCCCGCTTCACATATTTATGAAGTGTCTCGAATTCAAGGCTGGGAAATCTGGTCACCTTACATATATCGTGAGGAGAAACGGGAAGATTACTTACAAATGACGTCTTCACGATACGCCCCGGCGATTGCACATCGCTATTCTCGACACTCCTGAGACTTATTAACGCGCGAGTCTCACTTTCGACGTATAAAAGACACGAGAAACGCCGAGCGATGTGGATCGCTGTGTGCCCATGGCTGCTGCTTGGCGCGAAAAGATCGAGCATTTCGCGAGATTCATTACCAACGTCTAGATTGAGTAACCACGATGACAACCTCGTAATGCGAAACGAACGCGATTGATCTAGAGTGGTTAGTAACTCGAGCAAGTGGTTAACCCTTATAGAAATGTACTACTGATAAGTAATAATTTGGCCAGTGATAATTACTGTCTTCAATAATTTTATTACTCGTACGAGTAATAAAATTACTATTTATTACTGGCCAATTTATCACAGCCAGTGATACTTTTCTATAAGGGAAGGCCACCCTTATAGAAATGTAATACTGATAAGTAATAATTTGGCCAGTGATAACTACTGTCGTTCAATAATTTTATTACTCGTACGAGTAATAAAATTACTATTTATTACTGGTCAATTTATCACAGTCAGTGATACTTTTCTATAAGGGTTAACTATATAAAATAATTAATTTCTTTTATCATTTAATATTTGTTACCTTACTATATTTTTTATTTCAAATAATTATAATTCTTGGTAGAAATTTTACACGGGTCGGTTATACTATGCTTATATTGTAAATATTACAAATATTATGGTAACATTTACTATAAAAATTATATTTCTAACTATAATTTTTTTACTATGCCATTATAGTTTCAAATATCATACATTTTTCTCTCAGTGAGAAAATTGATCAATCAGAGTTCTCATTTCTATTGCTATGATGAAAATGAAGAACTCTGATTGGTTTATTTTCTCATGCGTTGTACAGTATGTCTTTATGGAAGAGTATGTGCTTCCCGCTTTAGAGTGCCGAAAACAATGACGTGCGGTTGTCAGGACATTATTATGTACATCGTAAGTACATTATTACAGAGTAATCTCCTCCCTTTTCGACACATACAGCTAAGGTGACCAGACATCCCGATTCTTCATCTTTTGTCCCGAATTTTTTCGAGTGGTATTCGAAACACCGACTTGTCATCATTTTCAATGATTGTCGAATAATTTTCGGATCTTTTTATCACCTTCCCCTCGCTTCACACATTTATGAAGTGTCCCGAATTTAAGTCTGGAAATCTGGTCACCTTACATCAGTAAAACTAACAATAAACGTATTAAGAAATAAGAAAGTCCGTTGTTTTTATGTTTACGTATTAATTTCTGTATATCGCTTATGCAATTAATCGTATCGTTAATGCACACATTGTTTCTTGAAATTGTGAAACGATGAAATGCGGATGAAATATTGAGATCACGGCAAATGAAATAATTCTGAAATGAGCAATTTTCTAAGCTTTAAAAGACGATAATGAGTAAATATTTGTAGCATCTAGTGCAGGATATAATAGCATGAAAATATTAAGATTCTCCATTGATCCTTCAATTCCCTTATAGAAATATCATACTAAGAATCATTGATAATTACTTATTTTCAGTATTAAAAATACTGGATAATAAGTAATTATCAATGATATTTCTATAAGGGAAGTTTAACAGGAGTTAACAGTTTACAAAATGTTTACAGAGTTTACTTGAAGTTTACAGAGTTAACGTAGAATTAAAATCTCGATTTGGGTCGACTTCGGATTTCTAGTCCACCCGACGAGGGGTAAATCTGCCTCTGTATCCTGATCGGGAGCAGAAGGATCAAATACACGCGGACGCAGTCTAGCTAGAGGGAGGAGTGGTTATGGTCGGAGCTGGTCGACCTCGTTTAGGACCGGTAAAAGCACAATACGAATAAACCGCGTCGTGCCGCGTCGCTTCGATAAAAAGCAACGAGAGCAAATCGATCCGCATTTCATCTAATCTTAAGCGCATTTAAACGCAGTTTTCAACGTCTTCTTCGATTACGTACAGTTATGCTTACAGTTACGATTCGCTTTGGCGTACATGATAGAGACGGGACATTTTAATCCCGCATTGAAACTCAAGAACGCGTATGTCGGAAGTATATTTTGGATTGGAAAGATTAACGGGTTTAGGCGAGAAGAACTCTTCCGTCGAATGCGTGGATCGTTACTGAAGAAGTGAAGATACTTTGACGCAACGTACGGTTGCGCCCTTGAAATATGAAAGGCCCAACGAACCAACTGTTCGGCTGTTAACAGCAAACCGCAAACTGAACATGATGCTTCGTGATTGACCAGGAGGAACCGGCAAGTACATTTCGCTCAATACAGAACGTAACTCCCTGGCTTTCGCGGACAAATGTTGGCGTAGCGCGATGTTTGTTTTTATCCTTCATACTGGTATACCGCACGCCTGACTTATACAATGCTTACGATTTGTAGCTCTCTACTATAATTTCATTGCCGAATCATTGCTTAGGGAATCGCCGGAGGAGGTGTTCTTCCTTTTCGGCAGACCTCTGCGAGTCATTGTATCGGCTCTACCTTGGTGTTTTGAAATGCAAAGCGCCCGTGGGGAGGGTTTATTCGAGAATAGAATGGTTCCGGGTCATAAGGCGGGAACCGGTTTAAGCTGGAGCAGGTATGAGCTCCATCACTTTCGGCGCTACAGACGCGCGTTTATAAGCCACACCACCAGGATGGATTAAAGTAAAATCGAAACAGCGAACAGCGCGCCTTTTGTGTCGCGTGACATTTATTCGCGCGAAAGGGATAGAGCGGCATTTCGCGACACAGCGTCGAAATATGATGCTTGGCCATCCTGTGACGCAGACATCCTGTCCTCCATTTAGCCGCGCCAGGAAGTGTACAGTACGAATGTTTCTTCTCATTTTTCGAGTAATTACGTGAAACGCGCGCTCGTCCACTGCCAGTTGACCCGGATGAAACACTCGAGCTGATAAAGAAATCTCTTGTCAAAGGCGGAAACTGGTCTTGCCCAAAACTGGCGATCACTTCCTTACACGGATAAAAAAAGACTCGGTTATATTAACCAATGTCTGGTGACACATGAACGATTCAGAAATTTTGGTCGGAGTCATCAGAATTCAGTCTAAATTATCAAGATTTCTAGGTGACTTTAACAAATTTCTGATAATCGAAGTCGAAGTTTCTGTTCATATTACATCAGAAATTGGTTTATACAATCCAACTTTTTTCCCATGCATCATAGGAATTCGAGCAAACATAATAACGTCAAATGATATTTTAATGTTAATAAAAATAAATGTTTATATAATATATCGTTTAACATTACCCTGCTACTTGGAGTAATAGTTTCGCGAATGCATAAAAGTTGAAAGTTGGAAAATGATTCTTCCGTCTTCCCCTCTCTTTCTCTCTCTCTCATACAATGAAAAAAAAATCTATAGTTAAAAGGACATTTTAATGATTTCACAGAACCAAAGCTCAGAAATGTGACTGAAACACGATATTAATATTGGAATCTCTATACTGAAAAAAAAAGTGAAAGCTTATTGGTGGGATATAAAGTTTATTCGTAGAAATAAAAAGTTTTACAGAAACAAATTTTCTTGTACAAAAATTAACTTTATATCCCAAAAATAAATTTTCAACTACTTTTTTCTACGTGCACGTTAGCGCAATTATATTTCTTACAATTTAATACAAGTAGTTAATGCTTTCCAAATAAATAGCATCAGTTAATTACTAGGTCGCACTTGACCCATTAAGCCTTTCGGCTGCTCGCGCACGGCGACGTATCCCGCGATCTCGAGCCAACGACTTGCCTCCCTTCTACTCTCACCCAGGTAATTCTTCGTCCGCGCTCCATCGAAATTCCCAGACGCCTTACGGTTAGCGGTAAGTTTAATGGCCGCAATCAAGCGGTGGGTTAACAGTAATTATTGCAGTACCACGAAAAGAAGCGACTCGCGCCGCAGCGGAAAGCACGTATGAATCTCTCGTCCGTAATCATGGGAGACCTTGTTATTTCGCTTCTTCTTCTCGTCAGGGTCTAGTGTGCGGACTCACATCCGTGTTCGTGTCTATAGTGAGCGCGTACAACTACGAGTGATAATTTCGCCCGTTTCTCTTACACATGTTGGCGCTATTCGTTCGTTGCCGTGGGAAGTAACGTGGGACAAACGCCGACATTTATTTCGCGACACACTAAGCATTTTTTTCCCTTGTGCCGTCGTGATTCACGGAGACTAGTTCATCGTGTGTGCTAAAACATTACGTGTTTTCGCGCGAAGGCGCTCCCGCTCTAAACAAATCTAATTGTTTCGCGACTCACGGTTTTAAAGCGACTTCGCCGATCGAGTGCTTGGCTTATTCATTGACGGTACGATAATCACTGGTCGTAGTGGAAGTGCCACTTATGACTCGCCCGGCTTCGAGGATGTAAGAATTTCTCATAGAGTAAGACCTTTTGACTCCAGCATGACCAAGTCTCTGGGTAAGCTTGTACAAAATCTCTATTCCGTTTCGATTCGTTATTACATTAAAAGATCAATGTCATCATTATCTAGCATATTTGAGTTGGAATACTAAGTAAATTATTCGAGATATTTGACAAGATATATTTTTAAAATCGTCGTCAAGCGGTGTATACTGAGAAAAAATACTTGATCGCGTGGAAAAAAATACTTGAAATTTATTTGTGAGATAGAAAGTTTATTCGTAGAAATTGACTTTATTTCACAGAAATAAACTTCATTTCACAGAAGTAATCTTTATACCCCACGAATAAATTTTGCAAGTATTTTTGCACAGTGTATACGTAGCGAGTAGAAAATCGCCGGCATTCTTTGGCTTTGAAGCTTTTAAGATTAAAACGGCCGGTTGTGTCGCAATACTTAAAATTCATTTGATTTCTTCGGCATTGAGCCTCGCCTTGCTCTTCGCTTGGCATGCCACGGCGTGCCACGCCGCGCGTCATCTCAATGGAATGAAACGTCTCGACAAGGTCTGCCTGTATGCGCGTCCATACGCTTGAAAGAAGGAAACTTTTCAGCGTACTGGTTACGTTCAGCGGTTTGTTTTCCGTACGAATATCGATAGATTATCTCTCCCTCGTTTCTTTCAGTGAGACACGCAGCTGCATAGGCACCGTTAATTTCTAATGAATGCTAAATCACAACTACTGCACTACGCAGTTACGCGTGTAGTATGCAGTTATGTGGCAACGGTTAATTTGTAATGATTGTAAAGTGACATCGTCATGAGCCTGCAGTTTTTTCAGAGCCATTGTAAAACATTCAGCAACCCTGACCCAACAAACTTTGATCTCTGTGAACGTGATTGTTTCTTGATAAATTAAATCGATCTCTCTCTCTCTCTCTCTCTCTCTCTCTCTCTCTCTCTCTCTCTCTCTCTTTCCTTCCAATTGTGCCCAATTAAGGACATCAGAGTTCGTCTTAAGAATAATTGCATGATTATATTATTAGATAACTTGCAATCAAGAAGAACAAATAAATGCATTAAATAGACAATCGACGAATAAATTAATGTCGTGATTGTAAAAGATAAAGATTCGGTTCAAGAATAAAAATCACATTCAGCGAACAACGCTGCTCTGCAGTCGTATGGCCCACAAGCGACGAGCTATTTAGTATGTATATGCTCTACGCTTGTCGCTGCCTTGTCGCGAAGATTATGCCCGGATGCTCTAACGTCGGAGTGCAATTTACATTTTTTCGCGAAGGTAACATATGTCTTCCCGCGGCAATAAATTCTCCCCTGCGATTCTCCGGTTAGAAGCGCAGAAGCCGGCCGTGAAGCACGCGCTCTCGACGTTAGTCCGGATTTTTACTTGACCGTAAAGACGCAAGACAGGCTTTTCATGCGCGAATTTCCAAGGCACAGAGACAGGAACGTGAGAGATGTAACGGATCAACAAGATTGGCAACGGTACTTCGTGCCTGGTCCGCGAGTCCTGCATGCTAATGGGACGTCGCCGTGCGTCGTCGTCTCGAGTCTTCGTCCTCGGTGCGCGCATGATATCCTCCGTTCCGGTATGCCGCGGGTCCCTTGTGCAGTCGATATCTCGCGTACGATAAGGTTCATCTACCTCGAAGTTCCTGCGATAAATAGGCGAATATTTGTCAATATCGGGAAGATGAATCAAAAAATTTCTCAAGTAATATCCTGCCGCTATAACAGCGTGTGTGTGAGAGAGAGAGAGAGAGAGAGAGAGAGAGAGAGCATCAGTGAATCATACAAGTGCTTTATACACTGCAATATTACGTTAATTATGCAAATTGCCTTATTAATATTGTATCTACCTTTAATGACGATTAATGGGATTGCTTGAATTTCTCCATAATCGTTCTTCCTTAACGAAATCGCCGGGAACATCTCGATTCATTCTTGACTGCACATCCCTGCGAAGAAAAAATTCCCGATAATACTTTTACATATTACTTGCTAATGACGGGTGCGGGCTAGAGGCCACCGTTGCTGCGAATGAAACCGAGACCGGAAGTGAGGCAATTACTCAGTCGGCCGGGCAGTTCCAGTCAATTGTCCCGATTGTATTCGCGGTAGCTACTGCCGACGCTGCGGACAGGAAAATGTACTCACTCGTTTCGTTTTGGTTTTTATCAAATTCATCAAATGTAATCGCTCGTTGATGACAGCTAGATGGCTATATCGCAAGGAGCTTCAAAGAGCGTATCAGGAAATGTCTTCAGCGAAGTCGCAATTAAATTTTCGCAATCAAGCCAGCAGAATAAATCGCGGGAAATGGAAATCCGGAAATTAAATCTACGAATTGGCTCTCGACAAAATTGCATGCGCGCCGTCACGCCGATCAAAGAATTGAATCGAACGATTGCTATTTCACTTCTTTCCTTTCAGAGAGATAATGTAACGGGACTTTCGCTGTCGCTGCGGTGAGGCAACAATGTCCACACAATGCAATCGCTTCGTGCAAAACGCCTGGAAGAAGGAGCTCTGTTCGAATTGTTTCAAACCGAAAGAGGAGCACGCGGCGGCTGATGAAATCTTGAGGCTCAATGTCGAGAAGGCCTCTACGAATTTGAAGATCGGCAACCTCCAACTACAGGTATCAGCTTGTACATCTTGTCTATCTTGTTAATTAATTCTGTAACATATTCGTATAATCATTATATTAGTGCATTGCTATTACTTGATTTCTGCTCATCTTCTTGTTTATTTGTTCATCTTCCTATAATATTTGTGATGTACATAAAGAAAAAGTATCAATGTTCGGGCACATACCTATGTCTAATTCTGTACGGAAAAAAAAGATTTGGTTAACCAAATATTTGGTCGAATATGAACGATCCAGAAATTCCGATTAAAGTAACCCGAATTCTGCTTAAGACTAACCAAACACATGTCTGATTTATTTAACCAGAGAGTAAAAGACATGTTTGGTTAAATAACCAGACATGTTGGTTAGTCTACTAAAAATCTTGTTAACTTAAACAGAATTCGGATTATTTCATCGGAATTTCTAGATCGTTCATATTCGACCAGATATTTGGTTAATTCAACCAAATCTTTTTTTCTGTGTGGACATTCTTCTTTTTTGTCTTTAAACATAAATATTTAAACTTTCAATAAAGAATATATATATTCAATACGGAGGAAATTTTATAGTAAGAATTACTATAGGATTTTGTAATCAAAAAATAGATTGACATTTTCTGCAATAATTCACCCTATCTTTTCATTTCATATATGTGCCACTTATATATTTTAAAAACTGAAACATTAAACATATTATTAAAACATTTATTATGTTTTCAATGAAATTTGCTATATTTTTAGCGAAATTTACTAGCAAAATGGATTTTATCAACAATCTATTTTTGAATTACTAAAAACACAGTTACTAAAAAAATTGAAAAAATTTGTATGAAAAAAAGTTATAATATTTTCACTGTTGAAAATTGAAATATTTAACGATCAAAATAATAATAATGTTCCGTATTAGGTACATATCTGAGGTTAGTATTTTTATCTTAAATATTTTGCACAATGAATTGATAGTTCATGCAACGCGATTACCATTGGCATTCGCGCAAGGTTGATAGGTGGTATAAAAGGTATGATATTGTACATTACATAACCATGTCCAATTAGTGGGAGAGCATCACCAGCCAAGCGTATTAGAATGTTTTACTGTCGCATCACGTGCATCAAAACGACACACGTCATGCGCTCGTTTTGACGAAGTGATCCTTACAGAGCATCCTACGCGGCAAGGCGATCTGTCGGAAGGATCAACGGAAGAAAAACGTCGGCTTCCCCGAGTTACTCACCGAAATAATCGGTTACGGCGGAGACGATTTCTTCTCCGATGGTGAAGAAGACAATGATGAGTTCCACGTCGATTCGGGCGCGAGTCCGGAGGACGACGGAGTGCCGGACAGCGAGGAGGAACGCGCGTTGGGCAACCTGACCCGCGCGAACACGAACTTCAACACAATCACCGCGAATCTCACGGATTCGGGAAATAATGGGTCGAACGACGCGATCAAGTCGTCCACGACGACACCCCCGAAGACCTTCGCTTCCTTGATGCTAGGCAGAATACAGAGAGACGCGGACGGCAGGAAGACGACCCTGTTGGTGTCGGTGACACCGTTCGGCGGGGACGAGTCTGTGCCCACCGCGAAGAGGCCTATCGATCGGAAGATCAACACAATTAACTTGCAAGCCAGTCCGTTCAAATGCAAGTCCAGCAATGGAGGATTGTCAGATAACACGGCCGAAGTAAGTACAGTGCGAGCTGAGAAAATGGTTTTTACCTAGGACTCTGTTTGTGTTCAATTGTTTCTTTCGTTGATAAGTACATGGAAAAAACGGCATGGTTGACCCACAGATAAGTCTGATCGTGCCAGCAAAATACGGAATAATTATATAGTTACTGTAAACACAGAGTATAATTGTTGAATTATTGGCGTTGCACCAGAAACAATATCTGGTTGTTCTCATCAGAGTATATCCATGACAAATTTCATTTCAACTGATTTTTGGTTGTCAAAACCAGATCACGCACAACTACATTGATATAGTTGATATAATTAAAATTAAATATCTCCGATTGTGTGCGTCATATCTTTTTTCCGTGTACGATTTTAATTTTAATCATGCGTGAAATATCAACCAAATATAAACTAACTGTTTATCTATGGACTCGATAGATATAACACTAAAATTCTGTAAACAAGGATTACTATCTAATATAAATAAAAATTGTATATTTTCTACAACAAAAAAGCCATCAGATTTTTACCTTGAGCTCGACTCGGCGTAATACGTCGAGAAGCTCATGAAAAACGATCCGTCTAGCCTTTGTCTGATGTTCTCGCGGATTATGTTGAAGGCCGCGAAGAAGCTCAACGGAGCGGAACGGAAGAAGACCGATGAGCAGGAACAAAAGCATCCTCCGGAACTGGAGAAGATCGTGGACATGCCGTTGATCACGTCCGCCAATATGATCACCATTGTTCGGAAGGAAAGCTCGATGGACGCCGCCAGCGTGGTGGACGCGGAGAAAGCGGCGGAGATGACGCAGAGGTGCGCGCAACTCTGCAAACCCGACAAGAGAAACGCCGTCCTCCCTCGCAACGGTGTCCCAACGGTGAAAAAGACTGAAGCTGAGGCGTCAAAGATATCCGCGCAATCCGCGCTGAACAACGTAGGAGAGAGCGACTGCGTGAAGAGGACGGCGAAGAAGAGCGATTGTCCAAAACGCGAAGAGGAGGCAGAAGGAGTCGAAGTCGCTGGGACGCCTTCGAAGAACGACGAGGCACCGGAGAGCGATCGTTCGATGAACGTCGCCTGCAAGGACACCAACGAAGTCGACGACAACACCAAGATGAACTCGTCGTCGCAAGGGCGCGAGGTTGAGGGGCAATACCAGACTACGGAGAAGAAATTCTGCTTCGAGAGCAGCCGAGAACTCGCAGGAGAGCCGGATGGCAAAGCGGACGAGGAGGAAATGACGGAACCACCGGCGTTGCCGACCAGTCCGCCGCCGATCGTAACCACGGAGCCCAGGTCTTCTTTTCTGCACGGTGGCGTTATTAATGATTCGAAAGCAAAACCCGCGGTGCCGCAGAAGCCCCTGACCTTTTCCGCGAAGGCGAGCCCGTCCGATGCTCCGCTCACCGTGAGGAAAATTTCCAACGGCGACTACGTGCTGCCACCGCCGTCGGTTCAAAATGTCGCCAGTAGACCCGTTCAGAATTTAAGTGAGTATTGAATGGCTCTCGTAGAGGGATATTTTAGAGATGCGGCTGAAAAGAAACGAAGAGTACATATGACACTGAAGTTGTGACATGAAGTTGTATCAATATTATTATCTATGATATATAATAAAATACTTTCTACAACAAGAGGTCATCAGGTCTTCACTTTGGGCTTCAATCGATGTATCACGCTGATCAGTTCGTTGTTTATTCTCAGTTGGTTTGTTTCTTAGCAGCCGTTAGACCGGAAATACACAAAAGTAAGCAGAAGTACACGGAAGAGTAAGCAGTAAAAATCGAATAAGTAAATTTACCAGCTGCAGTCAATGATTCGTCTTACGATCTAAGAATAATCGATTGTGATTAGTCAATTTTCTTACTGTTTACGTTTTTCTGTGTGCCACAGTTCTTACTTTGCATTTTTAAAAGGCCGTTGTTTGTATTCTTCGATCTGCTTATAGGCACGCAAGAGATAGGCTCGCGACATTCAACGAAGAAGAACGAGATCTCATCAGAGATCGAGCAAGTCACTTCGAACGCGAATCAAAATGCGGAACCGGAAAGCCGAACGAAAACGTCGTTGAAATCTGCCATCACACCATTACCCGCTTCTATGGTAACATTGTCAACGCTGAGTCTGCCGAAGAGTCCGATGGAGAACGGAGAAGTAGACGAGAACGTCGCGCCAGACGAGGACTTCGCGGAGGTGACTCCGGTTTCCGTCTCCACCATGGAGCTCGTACGCTCACCGAACAAGAGAAGGATGGCCCCGAGACCGCCGGCCGCGGAATCCACGGAGGAACTTGTACCGGTCTCCTCCTTGTTCGCCAGAAATCCAGGAGCGAATCTGAAGTCCGATTCACCTGTCGTACGTGAGAAGGAGAAGCGCGAGAGATCGTCCTCGTGCAGTCCGAAGTTCCGCAAGGCGGTTTGCGACCTGCCGGACCCGACGAATGCCAGCGCGAAGCAAACGATCGAGACCGTTTCCAGAAGAACGATGTCGCAGGACAGTTTGACAAGCGAGAAGGAGGTGCGGGAGGAGAAGAAGAGAGGCAGGAACCGGAGGGGCTTCTCCCTGAAGAGGTTCCTGAGGATGGGCTCAAGGAAGGACATAGACATGGTCACCGGACAGACGTCGGGCGCGAGGACTGACGAGATACCGTCGACACCACAGCCGAAACCGAGGTTGGAGATCATCCATCCTCTGGAGCTGGATGGCGCCGCGGTGGAGGTGGTAGGAAACGACAGAACTGTCAGCAGGATCGGCGAAGACCAGACGGACTCCTGCGGCGCCAAGAGCGACGGATCGAAGGCTACGCGATTTCCTCCGCCGTCAGCGGGTAAGCGCGACATTTGCGCAATTTCAGTGAAACCTCGAGATCGGCAATTCTCACATAAACCACGGCGTGTTACAGCGAGGCCCGGGAAACCTCCTCCGCCACCGAGGAATCAGTCCCTAGAGGATTGGTCGAGGTTGGACCCGGCGAACAAACCGGTCAGACCGCCGCCACCTCGCGCTGAGGCCAAGCTGAACGTTCCTGCCAGGAGCGACAAGACGTCTTCGAAGTCCACCTGGAGGCCGACGGCCACGACGACCTCGGACTCGATTTACGCGAATCTGGGTAAGTTCAGGCCCATACAGTGCAACTAAGTGATCATCGCGACATTCTCGATGTTAACAGCCATACTCACACGAATCCTCGCGCCAGCCGCTTAAAAGAAAAAAGAATATATTAAAAAAAAAAAAAAAAACGAGAGAGACGTCACCTCGCTTGCGCGGGTACAGCGATCGAGCCACGTAACACCGGATGACGATACTTAACTTAGTGTCCGCGGAGAGGACGAACGATAATGAATCGCAATTGATCGAGCGACCGCGCGTCGCGCTTGTTTGGTCGCACGAAGGACAGAAATTGAAGGTCTCGATTGTCGAAGAAGCGCTAAAATCCCGCTCGGAAGGTCATAATATTCTGTGATACGTTTTATATCGATAACAATGTCTTGTAATACTATCTCATTTGGAGGAACTTATTCCTATACTCTCGAACGACTGTGTCAGGCACGGCTATTGTTCCACGTAGTGTTAGCACTATAGATCAGAGAGAGAGAGAGAGAGAGAGAGTGCTTACGGCTTTCTTACCTTCTTTCCTTTTGTTTTTTTATACGATGGTTTTCCACGAAGAAAACTGTTTTTTCCCGCGATTTCGCAAGTCCCGCGGTATACATCGACAGTGAGGCTGCAGCAAAGAGTTTGAGAATGGCTGGTCAAGCAAGTGCGCTATCTGTTTGTTATACTTATCGACTCATTTTGTAAAGATACGAGGAGTGCAGCGGAGCGAAAAGTTTTGTACGAACATCTGTGTCTGAAATAAACGTATACTATCTGAAAAAAAGGAATCACGGAGTTTTGTTTTCTCTGCGGATTATGCGGTCTCTCGTGCGCCGTGTACCGTTGCGGAACGTATCCTCCCGATGCTATGGCTTGTTCGTTGCACCTTCGCATTTATCCCCTCATTAACGTGAGAACAACGGTCACGTCTATCGCGTTAGCAAAGGCGCGACTACTCAAGCGTAACTGTACACACACACACACATATCGCGCGCACGCACATACACACATGTATGCACACAACACACATGCATCGCGTTCACGTCTCTCTCCGTTTTCTTTCTCCCTCTGCGATAGTTACGTAACGGTGCGTACCGCGTGTCGCAGGTAACGTTTGTTGACGTTACCACACGTGAACACTCCTAACTGACGCTGGGTGCAACTAACGCCGCATGCACTGCATGCACTGATTGCGTATTGGCAGCGTATACCCTTAGCATTTAAGTTTAGATGATGTATGCTTGCAATCTTGAAGATCCCCGATCGACTCGGAAACCCATTGTAATTCTTACACCTGTTGTTTTTCTAATCTATCGTACGATGATATCGATGATGGGGTTTCGTTGACGATAAGCAGTCGACTATGTGTCTTTGTGTGATTTATATTAGTGCTGTCAACGGCTACCTGAATTTCCAGTTTTATTTCAAACGTTATTCTATAATCGAATATAATATTATACTTGGGAAATGTTAGCAAATAATATTGTTTATCAGCGTCAGTACAAGAATCAATGTAAGTGAAAGCAACATTATTTTGAATTAGTCACTTTCGAGCTATCATGAAAATAATTTGTGAATAGGATTTGTTACTTTAGCGACCCGGGCAACTGCACGGCCCGGTATTATCTGGAGAATTAGATAACACGAGAGACTTCAGGTACGCAAATTAACGATATCCGATCAATATTGACAGCACTAATAATACGCAAGTATTATCTATGTAAAATCCGGTGACAGTAAAAATATTTTGTCCATCCCGAAAGTGCTAACGATAAAGTCTATCGAAATCAATTGTCGATAACTATCCAGCAATGAAGGACATCTTGTCCATACAGAATTCGTCTACACACACTCACACACATACACACTAAGAAAATATCATTCTATCACCAAAAACAGCGATTACTCAGTTTATCTTCCTTCTTTCAAGTAATGATTATCTTCAGCAAAGAATATTTTCTTGATAAGAATCTTAAAATATACTTATAAGAAATTTTAGAAAAGCTCATTATTACATACTCAAAAGAACTCTTATTCTGCCTACAAGAATATCATAAAACTTTATCTAAGAAAAAGTTGGCATTCTATGCAATAAACAAACGAATTTTTGTTTTAATTTAATACTCTCGACTGAAATGCTAAACTTACTAAAATCTAGAATGTACTTGAATAAATTTTATGAGTTTTATGATGAGCTTATGATAGATTTGCGGATATATAAATTTTTACGAAACACTTGAAATAAGTAACATTTACATGAATGCAGTATGTATTTTTCTACGTGCACACATACAGACGTGGGATACGCGTGATGGGTGAACTAACGTTTGTTACTCCCAATTTCTCGTATCGTGCGACGCGGATGTTACCTCCAGTATCCTAGACGCGCTAGGCGAATTAGTGTTTAGATAGCTAGCCTGTTTCGTGACATGCCTTGTGTCTTGTGGTACTAACCCGTGGCGCTTGACGATGGCGGACGTGCCTGCAGCAGCGGAGGATGTTACAGGTGAGGTACGCAGCGCCCTGGCACCCTCAAAACCCCAAAGAACCGCCAGTATGAGAGACCGAGCCATCTCCCAACCTGTCCCGAAGAGGCACGGCGCGTCGGCCGACAGTCAGCATCAGGATTACGATGGACTCGCTGTCGTACGACCCACTTCCGATTCACCGGTAATAATCGCTCTGTCGAATTCGTCCAACGTGAATGCGAGCTTAAGTACCATCGCGCATATTTGCATTCCAACAGACGTCCAACGACAGCCACGTGTACGAATGCCTCTCGAGCTCGCCCGAGTGCGACTCGAATCTCGAGCTACGACACGGGGTCGGAGGCGGATTCCACGCTGCCTGCAAGAGGAAGTCGGACAGTAGCGTGATGGAGAACGGGGCGGAGATGAAATTCCATCATCAACCGTTCGTCAGGTCGACCTCGTTGCCGTACTGCGGCAGCGAGACCGAGAGCGAGCTTTACGCTCCGTACACTTTTTACGCGGGCGATGAGGTACGCCGTCAGAGTTCAAACTCTGTCGAACGTGTTCCGCTCGAGTGAGCAAAATAAATGTATTCAGAAACAAACCTAATGAAACACTTGCAAAAGCAGGGTGCAGAGGAGGATCAGGACTGGAAGAGCAGGGACGACGAGCCGAGGATGAGTCGCTTGAGGCAACGCAGAGGACGCAGCATCGTTCATCGAAGTCTCGAAGATAATTATGGAGCGGTGGTCGTAGCGAATCACGAGGCGCTCGCCCAATTCCTCGAGCAGGTACGTCAGAAGTCATCGTTATTTTCTGCAGATCGACACGCGTGAATTATTTCCAGAGCATATTTTGCATATTAAAAGTTCTGAACTTTCCCTAGTTTATAAAGATACGACGATTCGCCTTGTTACAGGAAAATCAAACGATGCAATTGCCGGTAGGTCTACGCGCTCTGAAAAACGCGAATCCACGGTTGAAACACTTCAGTGTTGACATTCTGACATCAGTCTCCATCGGCAGAAGAATATTCTACACAGCGACGTGGAACGATCAAAACGTCACGCTGTGTATAACATTCGATCTAGCCGTGCCTACGCCGCAAAGGGACTTTTATCTGGTGCCTATAATAGAATTTGTAGATACAGTACCGAAAGAGATTATCGAGAAGGTCCGATCATCCGGTAATGAGGATATGGAAGGTAAGAAACGTAGTGTTCTGCGGTGAGAAGAGATATTGAACCTTCAAATGTGTAACTGTGATTCTCGTTTTAGCGACAATTTTGGTTCTCCCGCGTTTGCATGTAACCACTATACAATTGTTCGGGACAATGTCGAAGGACGTGAACAACGAGAGTGCAAACAGGGAGGCTTCGTTCGTGCTGCTTCAGCTCGTTAGCGCCCTGAAGAGTCTTCAGGCTCGTGGGATCGAGGACACCAGCAAGTCCCTGAACGACGTTATACTCTGCAGAGAAGATAAGGATGTTTGTTATCGGCTGCATCTTCTGCAAGGGTTAGCGCTTTTCCGCACGATGACAACATAATGCAGTATAATAATCTAATCGCATACCCGCATCCCGTCATGCAATGTGCAATTTCCGCTTTTGCAGGAGGTTAAACATAGACCCGTGCGATGAACCTGGCGAAGAACGGGTCTCGCTTTGCGAGTGCGCTTTAATAGCGCTGCAGCAGTTACATCTCACGAACGAGCTACCACTCATACGAGATCTGCTGATACGCGAGAAAGCGGTTACCCTTTCGCAGGTGAGAACTGGTATTTCATCCTGCGAACTCTTCGCGTGCTTAATTCGTTCGCGACGACTCGCGTCTCTATTGATATTTAAGATCTGTCGACGTTTAATTATTGATCGGCAATTAGGTGAAGTCTGTATTGGAGTTCTCGCTGTGGGGCCCGGCCGATGTGCCTCTCGGTGGTCCACGGGAGAGGGAAGTGGCGCTTCAGAGGTGGCTCGATCTCGAGAGAGCTAACGTGCTCCACGCTCTCGTCAAGACGAAAGCAGCTCTCACCGTCACAGATGAATATCAACTATTATTCCTGGTGCGCACCACTGCCAAGATTATGAGCGAGGCGTCGGTATTACTGGACGAGCAGCGTAATCGTCTGACGCGAAGAGGCTGATGTTCTCCGTTGTATATTTGTACCGTGTTTTGTGCAAATGTCAAACATATTTGGCAAAGGAAACTTATATTTATTGATAAACGCACAAAGAGATGTCCAAAGTAACGTCAAACGCAAAGACAATCTGTAACAAAACCGCGCTATAATAACGTAATAACTTTCCTTCTGTATAGCTGATACTTCGATTTTTTTATTACTTCTATTATACTTTAAGCATATTATATATATTTTTAAAAATAAAATCATGTAATTAGCATATTATCATGCATATTAACGCAAAATTTTAATCATATGTTTGTCGGTGATGAGTAGTATATTTTTGTATACACTATATATATTACTGATATATACGTACCTATATTATTGATTTTTAAACATATCATTAACTTTTAATATTAAGTATGCCTCCGAGTTATATGCTAGCGCGTATATAATATTTTATAGTAAAACAAATATTTAGAGAAACGTGCCAATGCTCAATCGAAGTGTGATCCCGCGTATACGGTGCGCGATCGTTTTAGAAGTAATTGTTTCACATCGTTATCAGCAAATGACAATTGTTTACAAATGTTTATAAATATTTTACACCATGTTTGTAAAAATAAACGTATTAATCACATTATATGTCTTTAAGTGCTCCTATTTCGATTTTATTTTTGTTGGACCAAGATGTAGAAAATGTTAATTATGTGATTATTTAAATTTCATATCGATTTTACTTATTTCACTACGTTTTCTCTTTGTCATGACGATCGAACACTATATCGTTTAATTCAACAGATCTGTGAATATCGCTACATACCACTATTTCTTCATCGTTTAGTTGAATTTCTGGTACAACGACCTGTTCACTCGACTGCGAATCCCAGGAAGCTTCAATGAAGCTTATGGGCCTGTTTGTGACGATGATTTATTTTAATTAAATGCAAGATTTTTTAATGTACGGATAAATTTGCCGTAAATTGTAAATTAATCACATAGCAAGCGTGGAAGATATGTTATATTCTAATTATAAAAATGTACCTTTTGCTAGAAGTTGTATCGTTTAATCTTGAGTCATTTTCTTCGTTCCGGTTTTCGTTGTGAAGTAACGAGACTTGCTCGGTATCGTTCGTTAATCGTTTCCTTTCCACTGTATCGTTCAAATTCCCAATAGCGATTTGTACGTCGTCTCTTTGAGTTGTTTCTGAATTTCGAAGTATCTCTGTTCTGGCATGCGGTAGAGCTGGGAGAATCTTTTTCCATCTCGTTAATGGAGTTTCAGTGTTCTGCCTCTTTTCTGCTATTTTGAATAATTTACGACGTTCCTCTGTACGTTCGCGTCTCAGTTGTATCTGAAACACAGTTGGAAGAATTTGTAAGTACTAGCAAGTTACCAGGATCTCTGTATACCATCTGGTATATGTATCTTATTACCTTCAGATCATTATTTGCTTCTCGTAAGGACCTAGCCAGAGATGACATATAATAAATAATCAACGTCATCAGGACGATCAATGGTATTATTATACCAGGCGATGCAATATAATCGAGACATCTGAATATAGAAAATCGTATAATGAATCATCCTGTGTGTTTAAAATATAGTACTATCTGTGCTTATGCATAAAATTAAATTAAAAAATTTAAATATAATAAAAAAATATAATAATAAACTAAATTTACTAGAAGCTATAGTCGTTTGTTACAAATATCATAAGTTGAGATAATTTAACGCAAAAGTAACCGTACCGTCGAATTAGCTTCGGAAGTGAGTCTGTCAGACTCTTTGTTGCTAAATTATAAATTTTGGGATAACCGGAAAATGGGCCACAGTGCCACGAAGGCTCTACCCAGACGATAGCGTAACCGACCGGCAATACGCACAAGAACAGCATCGTCAAGAGAAGCGCAAAGTAGAAATTATTAGATCTGCAAAATAAAATATAATTTTTGTAAACGTTAATAAAAGAATCTATTCATATTTGAATCATGATACTCGCAATATCACATCTTCACTATTTTATTTAGTTGTCGTGAAAATGTGTTGAAAATCCGAATAATATATTACTAACCTGGAGGCTCTGAAAACTACTTCGTGAGGTACGTTGCACGTTAGAACAGCCCAAGAACGTAGATACATCAAAATACCAAGTTTGAGAAGGTTCAGCACAGTTAGGCCAGGGCTGAAAAACATTCCCATCCACACCATGCCTTGATTATTCACCAAGTGAAGAATATTCTCAGCTATCTTGAAGTCGCCATATTGAGGAAACTGTTTCTCCAAATCCCAGCACCAACAGCTGTTCATAAAACGCACGAAAACGGCACGGAAGAAATCCATGCTGAGGGTTGCCAGTATGGTGAGTATCTAATGAACAGCCGTGTACATAATAAATAAAATTTACTTATCTCTCTTGACTGGGTTAAATACTCTTTCATAAGAAAAATCAATATAAAAATATATGGAAAATCAAATTAAGATATCAATAACATATTCTTTTAGATTTGTTTGTATTGTGTTACAATTAAAAATTATTTGTTATATGTTGTTGTTTTTTTTCATATCTTACTAAATCCATGACAGTGAGCTTAGCAAGTTCCTGACCAAACATAGTTTCCCAACACAATCGACGTAACTTTCTCCGAGTCTTCGAATCTAACTGCTCCAAAGACATAGCTGAAATCGAGTACATATATAAATGATAGAAAAATTATATAGAACGGTATGAATGAGCGTTTAAAGTTGTTCAAAGGAAACATTTACCTAAATTGTTTGATGGAATAGTAGTACAAACTTTTTCGAAACACTTTATTACATATTTCTCTTTTGGGTGAGAGTTTACACGTTCATTTGACTCTATTATAGAACTACTACTCTCTGGGACATAGGTTGGCGTTGTAACATCTATTGTTGTAGATGTAATGTTAAAATTTTTAGCAAATGATTCCTCGCTAGTCGTTGATGAAGCAACTGTTGGTCCTTCGGTAAAATCACCAATGTCAGTGGTCTCTGATGATTCTGCAATCGCAAACATTTTATGACATATTACTTGTAATACATTAAACGTTCATTACTAATCCATATAACTGTATCTATGTAGGAATATAGGAAATAAAATGTACCTTCTATTTTGTCCAGTGCAATGACCGTCGATATCACAATTTCACTTTGCGATGAAGTAGAACTGCTAGTGGAACTATAAGAATTTTCGGTAGTTGTCGAGTCAGACAAAAAATTGGCGTCTACAGTCGAACTTGTATCGTATAACATCACACTATCACTCACACGTTGAGTGTCACTCTCTTCTTTATAATAAGATGTGGTATAAGATTCATTGATGTTACCCGTCTCTAAAGTTTCATTCTGATAATAATCATCCGTATAATCGTCATCATAATTGTTATTGAATGTATCGTTGTAATCTTCATATAACGGATTGGAAACGAACATCTCCTGCTTAATGGCTAGCAGTATAAAAAGTAGAAGTCGTTTCGATTAAATTCTTGAAAAACTTTGCAGCCTTATACGAATAAGATGTATTCATACAATACAAGGCATTTAAATTAATTTAAATTAATAAGTAAATCTTACTTTGTTCTGAAACTTCTCTTTTTACATAAGAGTGGGTAACGTTGCTTATTAAAACGAGACTTAGAGAAACCAATGTTGTGATTCGTTGCGTTGTACCTATTAACTCGTCACTACATGGCATTTTTGTATATACGCAATTGTTTGTCGGTTTAAGGCTATGAAGATAATGTTTCTGTGAAAAAATATAGAAAGCGATCTAAATATATAATAAATAACAAATAAATAAGGTCCCCTATAAAGTTTTCTATCTACTTTTATCTTTCTTACGAGTAATTTTTATATTACATTTTATTATATAATTTTATGTTTACACATAATAGATTACGTACCATAGTATTTATTTTGTTAAATAATGCAAATATTAAGGAATAGAGATTTAGCAAGTTCAAGACCATAATTCTGAAATAGAAGAGCAATGAAATACATCGCTTGAATTACATTAAAAATAAAGTACATCATAATTAACTAGTATCCGCGAAAATTCCAATAAATCATATTTTAGAAAAACATTATAAGTTTTAAGAAAACATCATAAATATAATATTTGAAATAAACCAACATATTAGTATATAAAGTGGAGTTAAAAAAAAAATTGAAAAATTAATTTCTTCGCGTTTTGTTCTTTTCGTGAATGTCGATTACAAATAGTTTTACCTTGCTAGTTGTATTCGAAGTTGTTTCCTTGGATGATAACTTTCGAGGAAACCAAGTATCTCGAAAAATATCGGATAGACGTATGTAATAAGAGACATTACGATCGTGATCTCGTTCTGTCGCCACCAGTTGTGTACCTCTTCAGCACTCCGTTTAACTACTTCGACTACAGCATACATCGACAGCGCAAGTAACGATAACACTACTATGTTCACAATTATTCTCATCGATATGATTTTCCAACTGTAATGAATAATTAAATAAAAAATATAAATAAGAAATAAATTTCTAGTATAAAAGGTAATCATCGAATCAATTTATTTAATGTATGTTAAATATGCTTGCTTTCTTTCATCTTTCTCTTTTTCCGCTTCCTCCAGCAAAGCTTCTTTGAAGCCGAGCATGATGCTGGCTGTACGATTATGAGCAGTTTCTGGATTACCAATCATGAAATCCCAAGCTGTGAAAAGTTTCCACGAAAAGACATACTCGTCCTCTTTTTCGGTCAATTTGCTTAAACGTGAATTTTCCGCCATTCTGAAACAAGAAATGCATCTTCATGTACGTGGTTCGTGTTATTTTTTCAGAAATGCAAATCTGTAAGTTTCCATTTCAATTATATTTGCAGCACACATTTTTTTCTTTAAGAAAAAAACGTAAGTGATTAATTTGTTAACCACTTTAAACAACTTATTATCTGAAAATTATTGTTTCTATCTCTCTCTCTCTCTCTCTTTGATATCTTTATTAATAAAATTTGATTATCTCAATCGACAAATTTTCTCTCAACTTTGAAGTATTCTAAAAAATTTAAGAATGTATTGTTTTTCGTGACTCAAAGAAGAAAATGTGTTGCATGATCTGACGACAAAGAGAAGTCCAGTCGGTACTTGCGCAGAATTGCGATGAAACTGTACGTGTAGACGACTAGATTAGTGACAAAGTACGCTAAAGGCAGTCTGTAGGTGCTATGTGACTCTTGATTCGTGTACCATCCGTAGAAAAACGGAGAATACTTCAGTACTCCTTCGAATTCCCACAGAGTCAACAAATGTTTCGACTTGACGCTTTCTTCCTTCAGCATAATTTTTCTTTCGCCGGCGAGTGTTGCATTTGCAGTTAATACCTATCAGAAAATAGGATTAATAGTTTATAAATCTTGGGTGATGAGATCTATATTTGCGTAGAAATAAAATTGAAATGACAGTCAAAAATTAAATTCACAATATTTTACTATTAGTAAACTAACGAAGATAAAAAATATTTTGCCTCAGGTAACGCTACAAATGCCGTGAGAGTGGCTGCTATAACGAAATTGATCCAAAACAGCCAACGGAGAAAGGTAAAATAGGACGCAACGGCAGATCCAAAATGAGATTCTATTTCCATAATACGCATTTCCCAAGGTATCAACCATGTTTGAAGATTGATCAGCTCGCGCCGAAAATACTGCCATTTCTGCAAGATACAATGTATCGTTTGAGTTTTTAATTGAGTAATTAAATATAACAAACAGTACTCTTAACATGCAACTTACAAATTTATAAGATATCGGTATACAAAAATCCCTATTAACAAGTATATAAAAATATTAAGAATCTATATATATATATTATGCATATAGAAATTAAATTGGCAAATAACAGTAATAATATGTAAAAATATACATCTTTAATTATCTCTCATTACCATTATTTTTGCGGACGTTGCAATCTGTTGAATTTTATCTATTTTTTATAGCCGAGAAACTTGATTCTTTAATTTTTGTACGCAGCATATTACATTAGAATGTATTTTTGTTGCAAATTACCTTAGCCATGAAAAGTAAGACACGTGCTATGACGTCTTTAGTACTGCGACTTTGAGCGAGTCTTTCCTGCAAAGCACCTTCATGTCCTCTCACGTAAGACTTAGCTTGTCGTACAAGCTTGATCTTACGTCGAAGGGGCCAGGGCTGTTGTTTCACGCCGCTCAAAACTTCCTTGTGTAGCTTAAGATTTTCAAAGACCTGCTCCTGGTTACCGCTCTCTTCCATCGAAATTATTGTGCTATTAAATTAATTGTTATCCGGCACTTATTATATTAACAAACAACTAGAACTTAAGTATTGTTTCTCGTTAAATTCACAGCAATCAATGTTGTAGTAAAAATATTCGATAAAGTCTTTTAGAAAATACTATTTACGTAATTTTGCGATTAATATTTTCATTTGACACGGTAACTTGTACCTCTTTTGCTACGACATTGATAGCTGTACAAAAATGCTTAATTTTCTAATTTCTTTTTTCTTTCATTCTCTAAGTAAAATATTTAGAAGTTATAAAGTAGTTATAAAGTATGAATTCTATAATTTATATAGAATGTCTCAAGTCCACTTTAAATGTCTCGTGTTTAACATAAACCTTATAAATTATAGAAATTTAGTTCAATTTAACTCTGAATACCGCAAATACTAACTCTCCAGAGCTCGTGGTGTAAGCTGAGGATCGACGACGCGTCACGTTGTCGACGTCAGGACCAAATGGAGATGATGGACGTCGTTTCCGCCGACTTTGCCGGCGCGTCGAGTTCCGTCGCTGAATAATCGCGCAAACCGACGCTGAATAATCATTATCGTTGCCATTTCTTTCGTCATCCACAGGTGATCTTTCCATTGACACTAGATTTTGTGAATTTTTACTTAGATCCGCTTGTTCAAATATCGCTTTAATAATTTGCCTCTTTCACAAAACTTGTAGCAAATTGACACTTTCAAAAATTTCACATAAAATTATGATATATAAAAAATCTAACGCGAACTTTCATTTATAATTAATTTAACACGATTCTTATTACCAATCTTTATAATATCTTTATAATATAATATCTTTATAATATAATATCTTTATAATATCTTTATAATATCTTTATAATATCTAATTTTCCAATTACAAATTTTCACTTAAAAAAGTATACAGAATAACAACATGAAGAATAAGATTTCATTTTCTATTTCCGTTCCTATAAAATATAGTTTTGTAAAAGGGCTCTCTATAGAGTTCAGTTGCTTATAATTTAAAAATAGTTGGTCTCCAGATGTTAACATAAGGGCGAAATCATTTTTAAATCAACAAGAATTTGCAACGAAAGGTTGGTGGAGTAATATGTAAAGTATTCCATTTCAGTGACAAATATTTGATATGAATAAACACGTCAGTGCTATTATTACTAACCAGTAGTAGAAATACGTTGTGTATCGTTGTTAGACCGCACTTTCCTGATCGCGATTGCTCGCGATTTTTGGTCGTTTTCGACAAAATCTTCGTTGCACTGACACTCGACGATAGCAAACGTAACCGACTGTCGACTGGGCGACGGTTGCGGCTGCGACGGGGATGACGGACCCACCTACAAGGGGTGAAAGATACCAATTACTGTCTTACTGAACCGATCATAGATCTCTCACAGTCACGCGACTAATGCAGAGCTCAGCGACCCAACTAAAAGATCCTCTTACATTCAATCATTTCGATTGCGAAATGAAATTTCCCTTATCAATCCTATAATGCTCTCTCTCTCTCTCCCCCCCTTTCCTCTCTAATCCAGAGATCGGAAATATACTGTATTCATTAAATAAGTGCCGTCATATTCAACTCTGATGCATCAACATTTATTTAATAAGATGTTTCGTTTCTCAAATAATTCGTTTCTAAAATAACGTATATTTTTGTTGATATAAATCTAACTTTAATATTTTCTTCTAAAGATATATATATTTCTTTGTTTCATGAAATCTCTCGAGATCGTTATTAATTATTCTCATCGATATTTAGATTTGATGTGACTTCTATATAAATTTGAATTTTAATGAATGTCAAATACAATTTTTCAAATTTACAGAATAAAAATTGAATTTATTGAAATGTAACTAGAAAAATGTTGACGCCAAGCTCTAATTTATACTAATTCAGATCCTTCTCTTTTGTCGTTTCCCTTTTAAGACGATTTCGATGTTTGAACCCCTTCGTTCACGTGTCTGCAGGTAATCACTAATCCGAGGTCGCACGCGACCGACACACCCTTCGTTCTGTGTATCATGCGGCTCGATCAGATCAACGTGTCTGCGATAATCGTGCGTAAGAGAGAAAGAGAGATCTACTTGATTAATTAAAAAGTTACTCAAGTTTCTTTTTTTATGCTCGATATTTTAAATTTTCCGCGAAAGATCAGCCACCAAAATACACGGAGAACTCGCCAATACAAGTTTAAATTCACTTAGATGAAGCAACGTTGCATGTTCAAACATAATTATGCTATTTTATGCGATTGCTCATGTTCGGGGAAATATTCGTTATAACAGAGAAGAGAGCTGTTAGAGCCGAAAGCGCGAATAGTCCCTGTTACACATCTTTTTATTCTTTGTACGACTCCACCTTTCTGCTTCACAGGTAATCACTTTCCTTAAAGGGGGAGGGGGAATGATTACTATCGCATGGCACGTGCTACACGCGATCGCACGAATCCCGCGAAAGTCACTCTCGTGCTGCGCACTGTCCGACGTAATTTTCGTTAATGCTCGCCAACCACGACAGTCGATTATAAATTCCGGCTGAAATATGAAATTGTTCGAAAACGGTAAATAACGGACGTCAGAGATAAGAAGTGAAATGAGAAACTAGAGCGCACAATGTCGCACACGAGACCACCAAAGACATCACACGATTCATCATTATTACGATTTGTAAATGAACTCAAAGGAATCTGATAAATCAAATTAAATGTGTGTAATACCTGTGTAGTCGTTAATGAGGAACATGTTTCAGGACGTTCAGAGGGGCGTGACGTTTTGTCTATTCTTAAAATGCCAGGTGTTTTCGTTTGGTCTATCGATAAAATCGACTCAACTTGCATATTATCTGCTACAGACGGCTGTAATCACAATAAATTTTTTTGAAGAATGTAACAGGTTTTCTCACATACCAAGGAAAACAACGAACTTCGAAGTTGGGCCTAAAAGATTGTAGTTGATTGATGTAAGTTTTGGATCACATAAAAACAAACTGCGTATATAATTAACGTTTTATCAATTAACTGCGAATATATATGCTCAATAAAGATAATTAACAGAAGAAATAGAATACTCAACTTACTGCGCAGCAGAGGCAAACCGATCTGACCGTCGTAACGATCTGCCGACTTACTGTTGGCCGAAGATTGAATGAAATTGAAGTTACCGGCATACATTCGCAATAATGGGCGTAGTCATGCCATTAACTTATGCATGCTAAAGGCATGCTAACACACATTCTTTTTGTCTCATTAGCAAACATTACGATCTTCTGTCCATTTACACGCAAATTTGGCGTCAACTTTTTATTGTTTTTAAGTATTATTAGAGCATACCATGAGAATGTTACCCGATCTAAAAGATAAGAAAAACAAAGATGAAAGAAGATAAATGCAAATTAGAAATAAAGCACATATAAAGTTGTATTCATATAATCGTTCACATATAGTAACAAACTATTAAACTTAATGAATAACAAGCAATTTACTGTCTTGATCGAGTAAAGACCGTTATTAGAAGGACAATATTGCGCAATATATGTAAAATGAAATAAGACAAATTACAAAAGATCTGTTTTAGAGATAGTAAATATATATTTATGTATATATATATATATATATTTATCACAAACTGTGTGATCACGCGTATTTTTATTTACAATACTTAAAAATATACTGAAAATAAACTCTCTTGATTGGTACTTTTGGCACAGGTTCGTTAGATAACGGTTCTTGTACATAGGAGTATGCTAGAAACGTCGCGATACGAATAAATGTATACGAGTTACGTATTACGATTTGTCCCTTGGGATACTCGAAAGAGACGTGTGCGAGATATTCAGTTTTCCCTGAACGCGTTAACCGTTCCAACTTTTGCAAACACTCCACAGATGTTACCTATAAAAAAACGAATGTACAATCTGCTGATAGTGCGATTTGAACATTCGTAACGCGTAATTCACACTATAGTGTACGTCACTATATGTCGTCACAGTGATATATTGACTCTATGTCGAGTGATACCCGACTCGTATCTAAAGTATCGATTAAAATTACTCTGTAAGATACTCTAAAATATATACTAATTTCTTCATCGATAACGCGGATTTCGAGTTCTTTCTTTTCTTTTTCTAATCCAACTTTAAGTATCGCGCGGGAAAGAAATCGTTTAACTTCAACGTTACTAAAAAATCTCTAGATAAATATTGACGTTTGGGATTCGCGTCTGCGACCGAGAAGGAAATGCAAACCCTGTTATCCATTAAATTAAAGGTTCTCAAACAACGCGTAATTTTTCGTAATTAATTAACAACTAATGTGGGATATACTTCGATAGCACATTTTTTATCCCAATTCTAATGAAACTATTAGCTTCATTCATCGCAGCGCGGGAAATTGCGCGGATTCGCAAGCTCGTATTGAGTGTTTATTCATTTGGTGGTATGGCGTGCCCAGGTCGTTCGTTGCACTTCGCTCATCAGTTCGCTGCGCGAAGGCAATCGAGCGCTTGTCGTGCGAGAAGGCGGTGGACCCGAAGTTCGTAGGATGGTCGCTAGATTTTTTGGATTCTGCATGGCATTCTTGCTGTCCTGTGCACTTTGAGCCATTGAACTTTGCTTTGTATTTGTTTTCTTGGACATACTATTATCCAAGCGTTTACTTAGCGGCGGAGGATCCAGGACTATTGGAGGTATATCGTCTTGATTCAAGCGTTCTTGCTTAATTTTATCGGCTAACATATGAGTTACATTCCTGTCGTTGGTGCACGGCAAAGGTTTTATGAAAGCGGGATGCTGCGCATCCATACTGTCTGTCCCAAGTAAGTTGTCGAGTTTGTGAGTTAAAACTGGCGATGAAGTAAAGCTGTTCGCTTGAGAGACCCGTAGAGACGCAGAACTTGGAGAGAGCTGAGCTGAATTCTGAAAAGTTTAGAAAAATTGCGTTAAAATAAATGTAGTATGATGATAAATGTAGCTGGTAACATAGCAACAATATATTTAAATATGTCGTATTAAATATAATTAAAACCTCTTTCTTCTGAATAATAAAATTAAAGATTCCAATAAATTTAAGAAAATTTAAGACACGTTTTTGAAAGATTAAAATAAAAATATCACACTTTCCAATAACTATTGTTATCAAAATTATTATAATTTTTGGTTGTTTATATTTGTAATTGTTTATATTTGTATTATATTAGTATGTATTATATTATATTATGTATTGTATTATAGTATGTATTGTATTATATTAGCTTTCTAAAGCGAGGTTCTAAAGGGAAAAGGGATAAGGGCTTATTAAGAGTCAAACACACAGGTTAAATAGTCTAATATTAACTAACTAATTAATACTAAAAAACTGTTAATGTTTATCCTCAGGATGTGTGAGAAAAAAATGTTATTATTTAATAACAAAAAAGAGATTACTTACCGATGGTCCACTAGGAGGTAGAAGCAAACTAGGACCCATCGCATACGGCGATGGTGTATTATAGGGTGATCTCTGGGGCTGGAACGGACTTATGTTATGTAGTCTTTCTAGCAGTTGTGTTTGAAACTGCAGTTGATCAGCAGAGGTATTATTGCTTTGAATGCTCATGCCACCGAGACTCCCGGAATAAAGCGATTCTGCAGGATACGAGCAGTATGGAAAAGTCGGTGGGTCTAGTTCCCATGGTGAGCTCTGGCCTCCGGTTCGTTGACACTATTCAAAAAGGTACATTTTTAAGATTTTTAAATTTACATATTTCAGAAAATACAAATTCTAAAACATCATAGTTTATTCATGTGTGTGTGTGTGTGTGTGTGTGTGTATGTGTGTGTTCTTACCTTCTTTATAATTCTCGAATATTTAAATACTTTAGAACTGAGTATCTTTCAACCATTGATCGCTTATATGTCGACAGATTTTAGTAATAAGTAGCAGTATTACCTAGCATTTGTTGGCAGCTTGTACTCCAATATCCCGTGCGAAGACCTGTTAGACAACACCGTCATATTGGTGCTTAATTGTTATTAGATTAGTCGTTTAATTCTTAGCATGAAATTCATCTCTTGCTATCAAATCTCTCTCTATGCAAATGTATAAGTAATTAAGTCGTAAAGATATGTGAAATGCATTACGTCAGATCACTCGCATTCAATATGCAATTTTCGCCCACCGTTAATCTAATCGATGTTAGTACGAGTTTCTCTCTCGGCAATCTTTTCGATTCGTGATTTCTGCGCCCTAAGTATCGGAACGCAATTAGCCGCGCGTAAGATCTGAACAGTCGAGCATCTTTTCGCCGTTGACGTTCCGTCGGTTCCAAATGAAAACACATAAACATAGTACGTGCATCGCGCGCAAGTATCAGAGTATAAAAAAGTGTTTTATACGAAGATACGCAATAATAGCATCGGTGTGTAGCAGCTGTAAAACAGAAAGTGTGTATAAAACGTTTTATTATAAAGTTAAAAAAGGAGATGTCGGTACAAAAGACGTTAACGGTATTAGAAAAAAAAAAATAGAAGAAAAGTACAAGATGCATTGTTAAACGTTAATTGAGATGCAACGCTGTCGGTCAGTCGGTGCTTCGGCTCCAAACTCCAGAGCACTCGTGTCATGGAATTCGGTAGAGCGTTACCTGGCCGAGGCTCGATAAGTCGGAAGCCGTTGCGTTTTGTTGCATGGATGCGGACGTTGGTATTTGCGATTGTGAAGTGACGTGACCACCGGAAACACGCTCCTGTTCCCTTAGGTGGCTCACCAGTGCACTTATGTGTTCTAGCAATTCCTTATTTTGCACTAGAAGTTGGTGTGTTCTCGCCTGTGAACGAAGAACGATTAACGATCAATATTCTGAAAGGAAACTTCAGTGCTAAATTTTACTTATTGAAAATATTACGACAACGGTCAACCGTGAAACCTAATTCTTATGCATATTTTGCCTTTTATTATAGATCACATATCTTCTTTATATCTTGACACGCACAATACACGATCTTATTCGAAAATTGCGAGATCAAAAACAACTAAAATAGTAAGAATATATCTAGTAGATGTGATTTTCATGTACAATATTTATTATGTAAATCATTCTGCCTTCGTTACTTCGAAAGACTTTGTATTCAGCCTTGAGATTTACTTTGATAAACTCACTTCGTTTCTAAGATAAATCGCGCGCACAGCCAACTGTTCGCGGTACTACGAAATATTTGTGTTCTCTGGTAATTGATTCACTTATTTATACCTGAGCTTCGACGCGCGCTGCCGTTTCCGCCGCTAACTGATCCTGAAGAAGTCGCGCATGGGCAACGGCGGCTCTGGTTTGTTGACTCTGTTGCTCCAAACGTTCACGTAGGAGTTGTATCTCGTGTTTCAAGGCTGTTAATTCGCCTCCCACCAATAAACCTCCGCACTCGGAGGTCACCGTGCCCTGTAAAAAAATTTTCATATCTCTAAATTATATGTATATAGAAAAATAAAACAAAATATAACATATATATATATAACTATAAATAAATTGAAAGTCTGACAATGTAAGCACGATTACGTGGATGTAAAAATCGCTCCTGAAGTCGCTTTGAGTCTAACAGTATCGTCGTAATGAGTTCTCGTCGCCAAATAAAGCGCGAAAAATTAGGCACTTTAGAATTTACAATGTGTACCGATAAAATATTTGATTAAACATTTTTTTATCGTAACATATAATGTCCTGTTACCAAGATTTAAAAAATTACAACAATATTTATACACCATTTATTTCTATTTTTCTCGAAAATATATTTTTTATCTAAATATGCATATTATATTAATAATAATTTTATACATTTATTAATATCAATAATAATATATACACGTTTAAAATAAATAATAATCTATGAAGATCTCTTACCGATGGCGACTGTCTGATTGGTGAGGTAGAGGTTGTTGTGGCCGGTCCATCGTGTGATCGAAGTAAACAGGTAACGGATGTTTGTTCGGGAACCGAATCTTCAGTATCTCCTAATAGTGATATGTCTGGAACACAAAAAAAACATGATAGAAACGATAAATATTAGGAGAAGTAAAAATAGAGGAGAGACAGAGAGAGCGAGAAAGAGAGTGAATACTTGTGTGCATTTAATTATCCGTTTCTTCAAGATCTTGTGACCAGCGATCGCGTGAAGCTTCCGTGAGTTTTGATACTAAGATACAGTCAAAGAAAATACTACGTGTTCTAAACATTCGATCGAAATGTAGAAGATATTCACCTTTATGTACCGGTGACGGCGAAGGCTGAGATTGCTCATTAGGAATTTCGTCTTGGTCCTCGTAAACATCACCGTAATTTTCACCGTGATTCTCCCCGTCTTTGTCTCCTCGATCGCGATCCTCCGTAGTGTTGTTTATACTTAACTTATGGCACACTTCGAAAGCTTGCCCAACTGTTCTGACCACCCTCATCGCTTGACTCTAATCGAATTAAATCGGCCTTTAATTTATCTCTCCGCAGATCCCACCATATCGTGTCTAAGTTCGCGATTGCACATACGTGCAATATCAAATATTTTATTACGATAAAAATACTATACGTTATTATAAGTCACAGGCAACGTATAACTAATGCTACATATGAAATCAGCGAGCTTCCAACATCGATAGTTTTTCAATCACTCAACCGCGCGTGTTTGTTATCCGTTAAACGTGAAAAAAATACTTTCCCCGAGTTAAAAAAAAAAAAAATAGCAACTCATAAACTTTCGCTGAATGAATTCTCGGTAAAATGCGCGCGAAGGGAAGCTCGTGCGCGAACGGTCGCGCCTTTTACCTCGAGCTCATCGAGATCGTCGTTTTCCTCCTCGAAGGGATTCTCGTCGAAGCTGAGGTCGACGCTGTTTTGTGTGTGCAACAGCTTCAGCCGCGGCAATGGCTTGCGCATTTTCAAGGAGTTGAAAGTTTCTGGTTCCTTGAAGGAGAGCTTCTTACGCGGCCGGGGTGTTGTTTCGTAGCCCAAGGGGATGCTACCAGGGCCGGGGCTCGCTGGCACTGGAAGCTCAGTCGAAGCCATCGCCGACTTCGACGAATTCCTGAGCATGGCTTTACAAATCCCCTTTCGTATTCGCTCGAAACTTTCACGGTGTGTCAGTGTGTCTACCGTCTTCGCAATCACGGATGCTGTCATCCATCGTGACCTCACGGACTACACGTTTCCTTTTGGCGCTTTAGACAAGCCGTCATTTCATGGCACAAAAGCAAAACCGTTCCTCTGTCTCGATTGTCCCTTTAATTTTATTTCGGCTCGTCGGCCTCATAAGAGAACGCACACTCGTGTGAGATTTTACACCCAGCGATTCGCAACGGACGCGTATGAAACGTTAATGATAGCTTCTTTATTTAAATCTGAAATAAAGACCTTAATGAAGTGAACATCTTAAACATTACGTATGTAATAAAATGTCCAGTTTTAGCCGTCCATTAGGAAGCGCGTGGGAACGTCACAATATGCGAAAGGTACGCGCGTATATCTGACGTGCGAATAATATTAAACGTAAACGTTTACAAACGTCCAAAATGCATTATCTCTGACGTCGACCGCTGCAACGGTCGTCTCGTGCAATAACACGACGCATCGACATTGACAATTCCTGGTAGATAATCGTGACGCACACATCGCACAGAACATTCGGAGAAATACACGTCTACGCTTTCGCGAGTAAGAAACGTTTCATCCGCGCGGACCTCTTCCCGGGCATTTATTTATTCGGAATATACGCGAGAACAATTTTTGTGATATAGCGTGAGTTCAAAGATTCCTTGTTGGCACGTACGAGATCTGTCTGCACGGCGTTTTCAATTATAAATAGTCGCCCTGTGTGAATTCAATCTGGCAAATTCCCCGCTAAATCGTGCGTAATTTAGAGACTGTTGCGGACTCGCATCGCTTCCGCGAAGAGTCGCACATCACGTGGTGCATCTATCACTTTTAATTACAGAACAATCGGCTGCACCGCAAAAGACTGTCCGTGAAATAACTCCGAGCACTCAAGAGCTAGATGATACCAGATTTCGGTAAGTCGAAAAACTCTAAAAAAAAAAATAATCTACATAATGAAGAGAAGTTTTAGATACACGGTGCAAATAAAAGAGAAATTATTTGTTACGTTGGTCTCACAATTAGATAGTCTCTTAACACCGCGTAGTAATTTATATTTCTTTGGCAGCAACGATTAGCCAAGGCTGAATATTGCAAGACATTATTAGATATAAATCTCTTTCTTATTCTGCAATGTAGCACACTACACCACAATCGCTCTTGTCTGCTCGATCACTCAAAGTATTAATTTGCGCCGAGCATCAATTAAACATCCGAGTTGTCGTGTCTTGACGATGACGTTACTTTATCAACGATTCCTTCCGCGTGATGCGTTGTGTCCGAAGATATCTCTCTCTCTTCCTCTCTCTCTCTCTCTCCCATTTCGTATCTCTTGCCGCGCACAAATCTTTTACCGAGTGCTGTCACGTTACGACCGTCCTGTATCTCGTAAACGAGCGATTCTATTTTCATTCGCTCATCACTCCGTTCCGATTACATCTCTCCGCCTCAGCCGATCGTGCGATCACTGAACCACGCGGTCTTCAATCCCCGTAGACGAGTCACATATCGTTCGCACTGGATCACTCGCCCGCAGGAGCGTGCATGCGGCTTTGTACGCGCGAGACCGTTCGCGTTTCGCGTCGTCGCGCCGAGCTCATATCGAGAATATCGATACGAAGAATGAAGGAAACGATCGAAAAGGTGGAGAAGGGAGGGAGGGGTATGCGAAGAGGGAAGACAGCGCGAGCGTGTGTATAAGTTTTCGTAAACGAGAACGCGGGAGCCGAAGTTAACCGTACGGCTTCCTACCGTGGTTTCTTGGCGGCAGCGTGCAGAAGCGGCTGCACGCCGCGCCGAACTACGCGCTTCGCTGGATTTTTCCTCCGGTTTATTTATAAGCGCATTAATATTCTCGCTCTCGGCCCGCTCAATGGCACTTCTCCATCTCCCTTCTTCTTTTTTCTTCTTCTTTCTTTCTCTGATCTGGATGGTCTAAACTCGACTCTCATTTACAGCGTGCCCCGCATAATTTATCTCTTTTTCTTACGGATCTCTCTTGGTGTGTTGACAGTTTGCTCGCTTCGTTAGATATTTTCAATAGCTCGGAATGGTTTAAGGAAGAGTGACAGGCAGCTATTTGGTTGATTCACTGAGCAACGCTTTTTTCACCGGAGTAGTAAATTGAAAGAGCCTGCGGATAAGTAGTAAACGGAGCTTACTTTTTCAGCGTTTTACATTTCTGTTTGGACGTCTCTAGTCAACAACAAGAAATTATATTGAGTATATAATAGTTGAATGAGATTCTGTGGCGTCTGAAATGTTCACGGAGCAAGTGGTGAATTTAGAATATCAGATGCACGGGCTGGGAGAGAATGCGGAAAGCTCGAAATTCGCTCGGAACACCATTGTACAGCACGGCACAGTGGATACGTCATTTAACGGTCGGCCGCACCGGATTCCTATGTCCCTCGACCAATAAATTATGTAGAGTTGCGCGTCGAGAATTTTTCTATGAAAAATTATAGGACAAGTTGTATGCACAAGTTGCATTACACACAGTTACACATAGTTCTCGAATATAGTTTACGTATCGTCCACATGACAAACATGAATAAAAAAGAAATTTCTAGACGTAGCGTGCACAAATTTTTGATAAAATTCTGCAAACTTGTATCATTTCTGAAATCGAATTACAATATTCACGCAAAAGAAGTGACAGCAAATAGATATTTTAAGACGGAACAGTCTCTCGAAGGCAAACAATTACGAAGTCCTAATTTTATACAGCAGATAATGCGAGAAAAAGAAGTTCCGTCTATTAAACGTGCAAATGTGTGTCGTGAATTTATATAAAATTGATGTAAACAATGTAGAGTAATGTAGGGCAATGTAGGGCAGTCAGCGGAGAGGGGAGGGGAGAGAGAGAGAGAGAAAAAGAACTAGTAAAAGTTTTTTGGAAGTTTTGCCTGATACCGCAAGTTTAAAACTTCAGCCGACGCGGATATTTCTGGTATCCTAGATATATCGTCTCTTGTAGTCGCCGGCTATTTCTGGATTCACCCAGATTTTGAAAGCAACCGGAATCCCCAAATAATCAACAAAGGAAACAAACTAAAATCTCTACGTACGCCGGTAAATCGCTCGCCATGATCGTCTAAAAGCGTGGCGTTACGTAAAAATGTCTGGAACACATAACAGGTGAACTACATTTTTTTTCAATTTTCTTCTAGCATGCAGTGTCTTTTGTATGTGTGTGCGTGTATGAATATGGGCGATTTCTTTTAAACAATATCATACTAGCGTACGTCAGCTACGCAACATTATGGAAAAGTTTTGGAACCGTTTTCTTAATATACGTCACACTGAAAGCACTGCGCGCGCGCGCGCCAATGGATACAAACTGAAACGGTGGGCTGCGAGGGATCTACCGCGAACTCTCTTTTCTTTCTTTTCCCCCGAAGACAGATTTCCCGATCTGAGCAGAGCTGCGAGACGCTCTCAACGGTCGCCGATGTCGCGGAAGATCGCGCCGGCCTATACGGACTATTTTAATAACTCGGTGCCAAACGGTACAGCCGCGCTACTGCAAATACACGACAAAACGATGGTCCCTCTGTCCCGCTTCGTGCCCGTCGCAACTTCACCGGGCCATCCCTCCACCCACGAAAAGGCGAAAATACACTCTCACTTTGACAGGGATGCAGCGGCGCACGTCTCCCCACCCTCCCCCAACCCTCCGTGGCCCGTCGCGTCTCCATAACGGAGGAAAGACGGAGAGCGGGAGAGGCCAAGGAGTCCACGTTTATTTATAGGTTTACAATAACGTAAGTTGATAAAGCGCCAGGCGACGGACGACGCGGACTGCGTGAATTGTCGCGGCACGTACGCACGTGCGCGACGTAATTTTACGCCGCTGGTATCGCGCGCGAAACGGGCACCGCACACCAGCGGGCTTTTTCTACCATAAGAATACAACAAATATCAATTTTTAAGTCCTAACTTAACTGACATTTTCGTGTGCTCGATGTGGGAAGCTCGGAGATATCAAGAGACGTACAAACGTATCGATGAAATTGTTACTACTGCACAAGGCGGACAAAGAAGTTGCAGCTCACCTTTTTGCTAGATTTGAAGACATTACACTTAAAGGTATTGCTACTCCCGTCGCGAGCGATGTAACTAAATATTTTCAAGTCGTGGCTATCGTGCGAGACATAAAATATCCTGAAACGTATACAAATTTGGTTTAAAAATTGTTCTCTGGAATGTCGGCATTGCATGTTATTTTTTGTAATAAACACAAATACGGTGTGCAAGTTGTTTGTAAAAAGGATGATTGGCAAATCAATCAGACTGAAGTATACACAATGACCAAAAATTAACTAGAAATAAAATGTTACCTCACCTATAAATTGGATGGTGCATCAGGTATATTTTATTCTCGTCCATCCATTGCTGCTGCCTCTTCTGTGAAAACGGTTAACGAAATGCGAGTCATTACTTCAAGTATATTGTCAGCGGCTATTGGCTGTTACTACTATCTGATGTTGTATGTATAGAATCGAGAATACATGGCGCCCAATGTGTATCAGTGCAGATATAACGTGGCGCTAGTCCAAAATCATTTCTCGTTATAAATTGCAACCGTTACGAAATGCGCGTCATCGGGCATTCGCGATTTTTCCGCTGACATACAAGAAAGCCATTAGTTCCTTTTGCTATGAAGACATTTTGCGGATATTTTTTGCGCCTTCCAAATATTCGATAAAAATTTTCTCATTTCAAATTTTGTTTACAAGAATTAGACTAATACAGTAAATCTTCCACCCAAAAAAAGAAAACAGCCATATATATAGAACCCATTTCATATTATTGTAACTTCACACAAAATAAAAATTAGCTGAGTGATATCATTTATAAAAAAAAATCTTTTCTAAGAATACAGTAAATTAATTCCTAATAAACGTGGAAAATGCTAAATATTTTCTCTATTGGAATGATATCTATATTAAAATTAAAATCAGCGTTAACGTTCCACTGTACTCTTACTTCATCTCTTTCTTAAATTATGTAATATATCGCAGAATCTAGCAGAGTCAACGCGCGTATCCGTTTATGCAGAGAATTAGCTTATCTTCTCAAGAATAAACGCTTTCAAGCTAATTATGAATTAATATAATGAATGAATATTAAAATATATACACAATGCTAAAAAAAGGAAATACCTTCTTTTTCCGTAGAGTCACCTTTAGTCCATCCACTGAGACTTCCAGCGTCACTTTCTTCTTCTTGACCCCTTTGGCCTTAAACTCATACTGTAATGAAATAGATCCGATTTAGTTGAAGAGAGATACTCATATGATGCTCTAGCTTTCCAACTAGGCTAATTAGCCGTTACGTGTACTCACGCGGATTTTTCGCATCGCCGCCACGATCTCCACTCGGCTAGTCGGTCGAGGAACCTCCATCGAACCAATAAACTGAAACAGAAATGTAGCAATATTAGTTTGCACATCTTGATAAATTAATAGATCTAATCGGCTATTCGACTCACTTCTTTTAATGACTCGAGCGAATTTTATTAATTTAATTCTCTTGATATTTCTAATTGTCTCAGTGTTGTTAGATTTACTTTTTTAAATTCTTAGAAAAAAGTGGCGTAATTTTTTTTCCACAATCAAATTTCAATAGCTTTTGAATAAAATATCAGAGGCTATAAAATTCTCAACGAACGACGTTGTGGAGCGAAATGTTCCCGGCTTGGATTTGACATAAATATATATTTAAGTCGTCATAATCCCACGGCGGAATATTACGATCTGACGATCTGTATTTAGAATTCCCCCATTGAAGCGATGGTCTGGCCACGTGTTCGGATGATTCGACGCACACGTGGTGTTCTCCCACACAATCGTTTACGGCAGGCAAAGAATAGTTTCTTCATAAATTTGCGATCGATAACTGCGACGGCTTAACGGAGAATGAATTGGCAAGGAATATTTGTATAGCTAAAAAATCTCGTCGTTCCGAAATATCGAAAGTTAAGCCACTTCGAAGATTCGATTGTAAAGATCAATCTCGGTTTCCTGATAGCTGAAATTACACTTTAAAAAAATCACATGTTACATAAATGTTTATCCTGTCGCATCGCGATGCTGCAATTATAATTAAACGATTTTATGGACGAATAAATATGTGGAATTACGTGCGGCAGTTTTCCAGACCGATCTTACAGAATACGTAAAAAAATTCATTTTACGGACTTGAGGGAATTAATTTACAAAGTAACGTGCTGAGATGTGGTAACTTTGGCCGCTGCATAAACGCTGTCCCCTTTTCCCGGCCGTTCGCACCATTTACTTTCCTCTGCTCCTGTCGTCGCTAAAATTATTGTAGCTTTACTAGGACGAAAAATCGTTTCCACGAAGCGGAAAAACCGGAGCGATCATGTACGCTCCTTGAATTAAACTCATTGTCGATCACAGCACAAAATAGAAGAGATTAAGTCGCTTCTCAGATGATATAAATATCTGAAAGACCTCGTAAGGTTCTTGAGATTGTTTCAAATTAACTAAATTCATTTATATTTATGTCTATTATCATGAAAATAAAAGTTATTCGGAACGTTACGATTCTAAACCGTCTCATGAAAAAAAATTGTTGCGTTTACTTCCGTACAAATAAAAATATACAGAACTCCAATAATGCTTTCCATTTCCGACCAGGATATGACTTATAAGAAATGATAAGATGATGAAGGGAATAATGATAAGATTGTTGGTTTTGAGAAAGATCAGTAACTCAGTTACACCAAATGCAACGGTAATAATGCATATATGCATTCAATTACGCATTGAATGTACCGCGCATATTATCGTTGTACTTAAGGGGATTGGAGAGTCAGATTGCCTGAAAATCATACTTGTTCTTTCACAATTTTTTATGACAAACTGAATAAATATGCGAAAGTGTTATTTTGATGTGTATTTATACAACATATTAAGAGAAGAAAAATATAACTTTTATGATCAAATACTCAATATAAGTGTATGGTACATGCAGTTAAAATATATTTCGTTTTTCTTTTCAAGGTCGTCATTTTGCAGTAATATCTTGATTCTGGCTGAATTTTAGGTAGAAAA